CTCTACCTTATACTATCATCCATATGCCTATCTAATAGCCGCTTAAATGCCCCTAATGAGGCCGACTCCACTACCCGCTCCGGCAATGCATTCCACGCCCCTACCACTCTCTGAGCAAAGAACCTACCTCTGACGTCTCCCCTGTATTTACCTCTACTCACTTTAAGACTGTGCCCCCTCGTAATAGCTACCTCCACCCTAGGAAAAAGTCTCTGGCTGTCTACTCAATCTATACCTCGGATCATTTTGTATACCTCTATCAAGTCACCTCTCATCCTTCGTCGTTCTAAAGAGAAAAGCCCTAGCTCTCTCAACCTTTCCTCGTAAGACCTTCCCTCCATTCCAGGCAACATCCTGGTAAATCTCCTCTGCACCTTTTCCAATGCCTCCACATCTTTCCTGTAATGAGGCGACCAGAACTAAACACAATACTCCAGATGTGGCATTGTCTGACCTAAAACGTCACTACTTCTTTACACTGATAAAATCTTTAATTTCTCTCAGGGCAGTGACTTGTAAGGAATTCAGGGATTTACATATACATATTAATAATTAAAACCTTCTAACTGATAGAATAGCGTCTCAGGTTTGTTTAATACATTCTGATCAGTGGTGTGACCCTTTGATGTTTTAGTTGTAAATTCTGTGTCTGATACTACCTCTCTCACTAACGCCTGAAGAAGGGGTGAGGCTCCGAAATAAACTTGTTGGACTATAAGCTGATGTTGTGTGATTTCTGACCTCAGTCTGCTGATACATCTATGTTGAAGTACACAAGTTCTCTGCTTTGGTTGAATGCCTTCATTCTCGCTCTGTGGTTGATTTCTGGTGGACTGGACACTGCTCAAGTTCTCAGTTGTGCTACTGGAGGATTGTTGCTCATTCAGAGCAACCTTTGTCACTGGCATTGACTGTTGCACTTTGAGAGACAATAGATTATTATGTTCTTCAGTGATAATGGGAATCAGAAACATTTCCACCAGTCTGGTAAAATCTGTGACTTCCTTCCCATTGACAGAGTGAAACAATTTTTGTCAATAGAGTCACCTCTCTGTTTGGGTTCTCTCATGTCCAAATCAAACCAAATAAAACCCTGCTACCCCTTGACCAGTTGTTTGGCAATGGATTTTTCCTGGACCAGTAGTTCTCACCAAAGGAGTCACACCCCTCCTACAATCTTAAGTATGCTCAGGTCTAGATGTACATGCAGATTCAAAAATGAGAAGTGTTGATTGCGAATTAGGTCATTTTCAACTCTCTTACGTTCCTTGCGTGGCAGTGTTACCTGTGCTCTTGAAAGCTATCATTTGCGTGGGTCAAAACTTCTGTTTCCTCAGCCACAAATCTGATCAGCAAGGACACCTGCCCTTGTATCAAACTTAAAGGTAATAGGATGTCAACTGACACAAACAAGTTATGTGAAACTTAAATCATTTGGATTATCAATATCCCCTAGGAATGACTGATACTTTTCTAATGAAGGTATATTTTTTAGTTGTGGATATGTTTTCTAAAGTAGTAGGGTTTACAGCATTAATCTTTTTGAATAAGTAAGCAATTTGGCTTTTTGTTGCTTGGAAACTGTGTCTTGACACTTGTACATTTCCTATTACTTTACAGATGTAGCATTCTTTTGCCAGTGTTGGATAATGCCTGTGTGAGTGAATCTTTGTTGTTCCACAGCACCAACACAGACTGTTAGTGTCTGCTACAACTAAAACAGAAAGTGCTGAAGAAACTCAGCAGATCTTGCAGCATCTGTAAAGAAAAATCAGAGTTGATGTTTTGAGTTCAGTGATCCTTCGTCAGAATATAGTAGGCATGGTTATTAAATTTGTGGATGACACCAAAATTGGTGGTAGAGCAGACAGTGAAGAAAGTTATCTCAGAGCACAACGGGATCTTGATCAACTGGGCCAGTGGGCTGAGGAATGACAGATGGAGTTTAATTTGGATCAATGCGAGGTGTTGCATTTTATTAAGACAAGTCAGGGCAGGACTTACACAGTTAATGGGTGGGTCCTGGGGAGTGTTGTCAAACAGAGAGACCTAGGAATGCAGATACATAGTACCTTGAAAGTGGCATCAGAGGTAGACAGAGTGAAGAAGGCGTTTGGCACGCATGCCTTCACTGGGTAAGGAGCAGAGACAACATGTTACAGCTGTACAAGACATTAGTAAGGCCACATTTGGATTACTGCCTTCAATTCTGGTTGTTTTGCTATGCAAACAACGTTATTAAATTGGAAAGGGTGTTAAAAAGATTTACAAGGATGTTACCAAGGCTGGAGAGTTTGAGTTATAAAGAGAGGCTGGATAGGCTGGGACTTTTTCGTTCACACGTAGGAGGCCAAGTGGTGACCTCACATGGGTTTATAAAATCATGAGGGGCATAGATAGAATAGCCAAGGTCTTTTCCCCAGGGTAAGGGAGTCCAAAGCTAGAGGTCAAAGATTTAGGAGAGTGGAAAGATTTGAAAAGGACCTGAGAGGCAACTTTTTCACACAGAGGGTGGTGCGTATATGGAACAAGTTGCTATTGGAAGTGGTAGAGGTAGGTACAATTACAACATTTAAAAGACATTTGGACAGGCACACGGATAAGAAATGTTTACAGGGATATGGGACTAGTTCAGTTTAGGAAACCTGGTTGGCATGGACTAGTTGGGCCGAAGAGTCTATTTCTGTGCTGTATGACTATGACACTGTAACTGAAAAGCTGATGAAGGGGAACTGAACTCAAAACTCTGCCAGATCTGCTGAGTTTCTCCCGCACTTTGTTTTGTTTCAGATTTCCAGCTTCTGCTTTTGAGCCAAGTCACACAAGTTGGACTTATTTTTGAAGCTGTTAGACCTTCCAGCCCCTCACACCCACTTTTGGACCCGCCTTCAAGAAAGAGCTGGGATGATGCCGAAATCCACTCTCACACCCTTTCTTCTCATGTCGCTGCCAACTCACTTGCTGTGAACCCCAGCCCTTGCTTGCTCACCCAGGTGCAGTGATTATATCTGACCAAGTGCTTGAAGCACAATCGCCATCAAGCACAACCCTCTGGTGACAATGCAATAAGTACACGACTGCCAGTCTGTGAGTGACTGGCATTTCACGGTCAGGTGAGACTTGTGCCTTTGGGAACCTAAATCCAGGGGAATGCCCGGAACTGATGAGTTAAGCACCTGACACACAACTAATTTGGTCAGGCCCCTCACAGGAGTGCAATTGTCCAGTTCTCCAACTTGGAAGGTAGGACTAATGTGGAGAACACTGAATGCAACTGATTTTCCTGATCCTTCTTCTGTTTGGTTTCTGTACTTTCCGCACATTCCCCTATTACACCATCCTGACACTCTCAATTTATGGGGGCAACACGGTGGCTCAGTGGTTAGCACTGCTGCCTCACAGTGCCAGGGACCCGGGTTTGACTCCAGCCTCGGGCAGCTACCTTTGTGGAGTTTGCACATTCTCCCCGTGTCTGCGTGGGTTTCCTCCAGGTGCTCCAGTTTCTTCCCACAGTCCAAAGATTGGCCATGCTAAATTGCTCACAGTGTAGATTAGGTGGGTTACAGAGGGAAGGGTCGAGGTGGGATGCTCTGAGGGTTGGTGTAGGCTTGTTGGTCTGAAGGACCTGTTTCCACACTGTAGGGATCCTATGATGATGATCTACAATGATTTCTCTTCAAACTACATAGTCATGCAAGAATTCAATTGTTTCCGTGCTGGTGTCACACAAGTCAGGCCCCTTACATTGGGCATGTGTCATATGAGTGCAAAAACATTTAAAGGGAACGTGCACTTAAATGCCTGACCTGATCAGCAAAAAATGGTTGCTCACCCCCACACACAAATATGCAGTCTTATTTGAAGCTTGTTTAGGCTAGTCTTGGCTCAGATGCTGCTCATCTCAACAAACAACTCCTTTCTATCCCCAACACGGATAACCTCCTACCCAGTCTACGCCTTTCACCATGTGAGGACTTTCTTCATTTGTTTGTAAGCTCATTCATACCTGGCTCAGGTAGCAGGCCTCAGTGAAACCCTCCAAAAAAGTGCATTATTTTCACTAGAGCTGCCAGTGACCATAATATTAAGTCAACTACTTAACCCCTCTCAGGTGCCCACACTTGCTCCAACATACAAACATAAGATTGAAAGGCAGAAGTTCCTTTCAGAGTCACAGAATGGTTATAGCATAGGAAGCTCTTCACCCTGTCAATACCTATACCAGAGCTCTCCTGCCCTCATGCTGTAGTCCAGAACATTCTTCCTTTTCAGATAATCATCCAGTTCCCTTTTGTACGCATTGATTTAATCTACACTCTCAGGCGGTGCTTTCGAGATCCTAATTACTCACTGCATGAATATCTGGCTCCATTGTTTCTCTTTCCCATTAGCTTAAATCTGTGCTTTTGCACTTTTCCATACTAGTAGGTTTATCCCTATCTATGCTGTCGTGACTCATGATTTTGAAAACCCATATTAAATCTTTTCTTAATCTTCTTGTATGTAGAAAACAATTTGAACTTTCCGATCTATCTGTCTAACTGAAGTTCCTCATCTCTGAAACCACTCATGAATCTTTTCTGCACTCTCTCCAATACCTTCTCATCTTTATTGAAGCTTGGTGCCCAGAAGTGGGCACAATTTTCCATTTGAGGCCAAACCATGTGTTTTAGAGAGTTCAGTATAACCTCATCGCCCTTGCATTCAATGCCCCTACCAATAAAGCTGAGATACCACTTCATTAACCATGCTCTCAAACTGCTCTGCCTTCAACGAATTGTCTGACACGAGATTCAACTTAAAATAAGCAAATTAATGTCTTTGTTAAAATAGTAAGCATTAGTATGTGGGGCAGTAAAACGTCTATAATACTATCCATGATACAGTTTTTTCTAGATATAAATTACAAATAATTTTTAATATGTAAGAAACTCTGCTGCATGTCTGCATGAATAAACAATATCATATGAAACTTGTACAGTTTTGGCAAAATTACTCACTTTAAAAGGAATGGCAGTGTTGTAGTTCTCTGGAATCTCCCACGTTAATAAAACTGATGTCTTCATTACAGCTTTAACATGAAAATTTTTTGCAAACACTGCTGAAAAATTAAGGAGAGTGACAATTTAGATGGGACTGTACCAACATTCTGCATGGACTCGTTTCAGTGCTCTTACCAGTTCAGTGAAACAATAAATCACCTCTCCTACCTGCATTTTGCACAACCTGATGTCACTCTAAATCTCTATAAACCTTAGTGATCAAAACTTACCTTTATAAGTCATGCAGGTTTACACAGTCTCAACGGTGTGCGTGTACTTGAGTACAGAAGACCCCACAGTACACTAAGACTCAAGAACCATACCTTTCAAGTTGGTAGAAAGGAGTGATCTCTAATGTATAATCTTGTGACCCAACTCCCTAATATCGTCACCCACCTGCATCTAGGAGCACATAAACAGACAAATCCTACCTGGATCCAGTGGCAGTGTCCGGAATTGAACACTAGGGCTATAAGGACCAGGACCTTTACTTGTATAAGCTCTCACTTTGATATCATAAGTGGTGTCCGGTTTTAGGTTGGTGAGCTTCAAACTTGTCTCGGGCGAAGCAACAGAGAGCTCAATCCGATTATTTGGACTGTTGATATCTCTGTATAAAACGTTATACTTGGTAATTAACCCATTCCTTTCTGCCAAGACTGGTGGCTGCCAACTCAAATGAATCGTCGAAGCTGTGGAGCTTTCAGCACGTGGGTTTTGGGGAAATCCACTCGGTCTTTCTTCTGGAATCGTGATTTCTTTCACAATCTCTTCCCCAAAGCCAACTTTATTTTTTGAGGAGAGTTTGAAGACGTAAGAGGTGCCTTTATGGATGTCAGTAGCTGTATAATGGTCATCCTTTTCTGAAAATTCCAATGTTGTCAACAATTCAGAGTCTTTGCGCCCAAATTTTAAACGATAACCTAGAACTGGTCCAAAGGTTTCTACAGGAGGATGCCACTGAATAAGAGCAGTATTCATCTGTGTATGACTAACAAGGAGTCTTGGTTTCCCAGGAACTGTAACAATAAATAAGATCCATTTTAGAAGTCTTTCCTTAATATTCCCATTGGATTTACGCACAAGAAAGATACACTTATTTCAAGTAGCTGTCAATTGAAGAAAGAATTACAAATCACATACTAAAGCCTGCATTCCTTTAGAATCACCTTCTCAAATTCTCATTATCTTTGCAAAATGTCTCAGGATTCTGGCTCTGATGAAAATATGGACCAGTGATAATACAATTAATGTAATTATCCGAACTCTGGCAAAATGATTTTATGATAAATATAATTTCATAGATAAGAACTGACGAAAAAAAATCAGTAGCCATTACTATGTCAGGAAGCTCTCAGTAAGTTCAAGAGATTACAAAGATCAAATTGAGAGAAATGGTCCAACAATTCAGAATGTAATTTGAACATTGATGACAGAATTGTTAGTTTTACACGGAGGCGATAAGTTAGTGGTAATATTGTGAGACTATTAATCCAGAGTTCCAGGTAATGTTCTGGTAATTCAGGTAATAATCCTGCAACAGCAAATGGTGGAATTTAAATTTGATGACAATCTAGAATTAAAAGTCTAATGATGACCATGAAATTGCAGTCAATTATTGGGAAAACTCATCAGGTTCACTAATGTTCTTCACTAGTCTGGCCAGAACCATAGCAATGTATCGATTCTTAACTGCTTCTTGGGAAATTAGGGATTGGCACCAAATGCTGGCCTAGCCAGACACATCCCATGAATGAGTAAAACAAAACTTACTGTTTGTGACTTCTCCAGGAGCTGGAGTCCAGTTGTCCCTATATATTTAACACTGTCCAAGTGTATCCTAAATTCAGCTGCCATTCACATCTGAAGTAGTAACAGTGGATTATTTAGCTTGTTGAGTTTGCTCAGCTGTTCATTAAGATCACAGCTAATTTGTTACCTCTACCACATATTCAAATCTATCCCTATAACTCTCTGCATTCCTAAGCAAACCAATTTTTGTCTGGGATCATTTGGGTAGAGAATCTCCAGGACTGAAGAATCCTTTGAGTGAATACATTTATTCTCACCTCAATCTTGTTTCAATTTGTTATTCTAAGACTGGTGACTTCTCATTCAAGACTCCCCAGCCAAGCAAAGCGTTCTCCAAACACCTATCCTGTTACATCCTTAACAGGTTTAACACTGCTAAACTTCAGAAAATATAGGCCTAGTCTGTTTTATCACTCCTCACAGGGCAAGCCTCTTCTTTCAGGAATCAGCTTGCTGCAGGGATCCTCAATCAAGGATCTTGAAAATCGACAAGACGTTTTCAAGAGGTCCAACACGTCTAGGCAAATGTCACGCTTCTGTTTGCTCTAATGAAGTATGAAGGTACCCATTTTTAAAGGATCACAGGCCAACAATGTGCATGTGGTAACGTTGCTAATAGTCTTTTAACTCACCAAGTAACAAATAAGGATGTTAATGTGAATGGAAAGCTGTGAGAAATTACGCAGAGCATTTAATTTATATAGTAATAATACCATAGTCAGATTTTAAATGACTCATTTATGGGTTAGAACAAATAGACTCAGGTAGTTCATATTTGTCATCAACCTTTAAGTTTTAAATTCAAAAATAATGACTATACAATTTTCAAGATTATACACTTTGCACGAGTAAGTTGCACTGTGAATCATACTTCAATGACTTTCCTGTTTGGTGTTGTCTCTTTGGTATTAGTAATGATTTAACTGTACATCTAAATATGAGGGCTTCCAATCTTCCACAAAGGAGAGAATCTAATAGAGGCATTGAAAATTATGAAAAGGTTTGTCAGAACAAAGGTAGAGAAGAGGTTTTCTAAAACAAAGTGTCAGAAGTACAAGACAGTCACGAATAAATTTAATGGGGAATGCAAAAGGAACATTTTTATCCAAGGAGTGGTTACAATGCGGAATTTGCTACAATATGAAGGGTCACTGGGCTTGAAACTTTAACTCTGTTTGCTTTCTATAGATGCTGCTAGACCTGCAATGCTTCTTCAGCATTATCTGTTTTAGTTTCAGATTTCCAGCATCTGGGAAGCTCTGCTCCCAGACATCTCTCTTCCACTGAAACAACACAAACAGCTGATCACGAAGAAATTATTGCAGGAAAATCAGTGTTGAACAGCTACGCTATGAAAAAAAATTCTCCGCCGTTTGTTGAATATACTCTAGTTGAGTGAATGCATTAGTTTGCATCTGGATGTTCCTCAACAACTATAAACCAAATGGACCCTTAGACCTAGTCAAGTGGAACTATCAATAGTGGAACCATCCTTTACCCACAAATAGCATGCTGTTTATGGCTCCTACTTCGAAAAGTTCAGTAATAATTATATTCAGTATGGTCATGTCTTTTGTAGCCACGAAGACCTGCTTCCATCACAGAGAAGATCCTCTTGCTATCAGGTGGCATTTGCTTTGTAACTGAATTCCATGAGTATCTCAACCTCCTCTGGCACCGCTCCTATGTGAATACAAAGTGCACACAAGTCTTCACTCTGACTGTAATCTGCTTCCAAACCCTAAAGCTGCACGTGCTCATCTCCAATGCATCCTGCTACGTATACATTTTTAAAAGCATCCATAAAGTTTGCACTGTATTGTTCCAGTGTCATGAAGTGAATTCTTCACATGGACCCTTCACTCTTGTCTAAGGGAAGATGTACTGGCATTAGAGACAGTCCAGAGAAGGCCGCCAGGCTGTTACTAGGTACAGATGGACAGCCTTATGAGTAGAGGTTAGGTTGGGCGTATACTCATTGGAATGTAGAAGAATGAGAGACAAAAAAGAAACAAAGAACTGATGAAGGGTCACTGGATCCAAAATGTTAACTCTGCTTTCCATTTACAGATGCTGCCAGAATGAGAGACAACCGTATTAAAACACATAAGATTCTGAAGGGACTTGACAGAGTCGATGTGGAGAGGTTGTTCCCCCTTGCGGGAGAATCCCGGGCCAGAGAACATATCTCAGAACAAAGATTGTATATTTAAGACAGAGATTAGGAGGAATTTCTTCTCTCAGAGGGGAGTGAATCTATGGAAGTCTTTACCACAGAAAGCTATAGTGCTGTGTCAATAAGTATTATCAAGACTGAGATAAATTTTTAATCACGAAGGGAATCAAGGTTTACGAAGCAAAGGCAGGAAAATGGAGTTGAAGATTATCAGCTCAGCCAATGAATAGCATAGCAGACTTGATGCTCTGAATAACCTAATGTCATATTAGGCTATTCTGCTCCTATGTCATATGGTCATTTTGTTTGAAGAGATGCAATTAACAGAGGACCTGAAACTCAGTAAGTAATTCAGCAAAAGAAAAATCAGCTGTAAAACAAACCCACCATGTCATTGTTAGAGTATACAAGATATGATTCCTTGTAGAGCCCACTGGTTGCTGAAGAGACCAAGTGGAGACAAACATCCTCTGTGGTGCCAGCAAGGCAAAGTAGAGGCATTACACTAAGCTCGATCATCACAGTGACCCTTCCGAGACACCAACATTAACCCACAGTGCAGGCCAGTTTCATCGCAGACTGCAGGATGATGCTTTGGCCAAGCTGAGAATCAGATACTTTACAAAGTCCAGAAACCTGCCTGACCCATTAGCTTAAAACACCCAGTAAGGGTTGCAGCTTCTCACAGTTAGAAGATAGAGGGAACATGGACTTAGCTGAATGGCAATGGTCACAAGCGACCTGGGAGCCAGCTAAAATGCTGGGTAAGACTCTACAACACTAAATGTAAAAGACTGCTCTGTGCAATACACCCGAGGTTAACTTTGCAATGGTGCAGACTCCTGTAAAAATAGCATTTCACTGGTGTCTTCCTCCCACCTCAGATGGGGAGAAAGGAGACCAAGTGCCAATAGATATGATGGACGACAAGTAAAGGGAAAGTGTCCATAGCCCCAAAGGACCATTTCATTAGAGAGAGATGACTGGTGGTGCGCTTGATCTGAGGGTTACCACCCCTCAGGTGACAGGTGAAGCTGAGGGCAGTCTTTCATGGTACCCGCAGCCAGCGCAGGAATTGAACTGAGCCCTGATGAGCAATGACCATGACAACAGAAGCATCTATTTGACTGACCTGTTGCTGGGTTTGTTCAGGAATTGCATCCTGTTCTTGCCAATCCTGAGCTGGACTTGTGGATAAGAGGTTAGTCAGGCTCTTGGGTGTGGAGCATCAAACTCCTGAACCGTTCTCATCGGATCAAGTACGTACACACATGCACACACTCTCAGTTACGGAAATGTTTTAATAACATGTGCAAGCTTTGTCCATTATTATCTAATGATGTGAAAACATGAAGCATTGCTATATTTTGGTTCTGTTATGTTGGCATCACATTTTTCCAGTTCTATTCTCCCACCCCTGCAGCTTCCTTTTCATTCATCCACTGTAAGAAACATTTTTTCAGGTAATAGCTGCAGTCAAATGTCTGTTGATACAATGGGGGGTAAATTTGATTTTTCATGGTGTTTGGAATCAGGCAGCATCGAATCAACTGCCTGTTACACAACTCTCCTAAATTCCATTTCACATGGGTCAGAGAAAGGAAAACCAAGAGGAAGTGGAAACTGGCTGCCAATTTGCAATCAGTCATTTTCCACTGCTGCATGCAGCCAGAACTGTCCCCATCGCCTTCCTCGCGAGCTGATACCATGCTGTTACTCTCCAGTTGTCACTGGGGCCCTGGAGCATCAGATAGACAATGAGAATGTTCATGCAGAATATGGCATGGCAGGCAGATCAGAATGACAGACAGTAGCTGCAGAGCTTTTAGACAGGCTTGTGTACTTGTGTGGAGTGAGAAGTAATGTCATTGTCTCTGAAAATCATCACCTTTATCCTGAGGTGAACTCTCTGGCTTTGAGGTAGGGACAGTAACACTGTGCCATAAGAGACCCCGCCCTCACCCCATGAACAACTTGAATGAGCACTATGTGTTGAACAGATAATTTGGCTCCCACCTCTGATGACTTCAC